AACACCTGACAGAAAAAAAGAAAAGAAAAAAAAGAAAAAAAAAATCAAGCCTATCCTTACCCAGGAAAAACACCCTAACCTTGCCTTCAACCTGAATGTGGGTTAGAGTAATCTAATTACATGGCCGAATCTTGCCAAGGGTAAGTGGGTTGGGTGGCCATGGCAAAGGCATCCTGGGGCTGCACTGAATTATCAGGAGTATGATGTTTCCTTATGTGTTTCTTGAGACTGCTGCTCTCTCCCGAACGAAAAGGGCAGTGTGGGCATGCAAAGGGCTTCTCCCCGCTATGGATTCGGATGTGCTTCTTCAGATTGCTCAGATCACTACACTTGTATTTACAATGGGGACATTGGTGGGGTCTCTCTCCGGTATGCGTGCGGACGTGGGTTTCCAGGTGCTGCCTCCGCTGGGCAACATACCCACACAAGTGACACAGAAGGTGAGAGCTAGGAGCCCCCCGGCCACTAACAACCTTCCCTCCGCCAGGGCCAATGGCACCACCACCCACAGCAGCTGGGCTCTCACATGCCATAGCATCACCTTGTAGAGCTCTCTCATCACCCGCTACCCCGTCACTTTGTGAAGATGGCCACACCCACTGCAAAGAGACATTCCCCATTATTTCTCATTTGCCTCAATGAGCTGACAAAACTCTCAAAGTTACTTCTCCTTCTCACCAGGGAGAATGGCATGCGATCCTTTCCTTTATTCTTTCCAATGTTTTTCATCAGTAGCTATAGCTGAGGTATCATTTCTCCCATGGATTAAGAGGTTAAAATATCAGTAATACACTTTTGATAACCTACTTGGCAAATGGCAAAAATATTTATGAAAATAATAAAAATAATGTACAGATAAGTAAATACCTCTCAAAATAACAGTAAAACTAACCTATACAAAAAAATGAAAAGAAAACTATTAATATGAAAACTTCAATCAATAAAAAAAAATAAAATAAAATGCTTTCATATAATGCACATATTGCAGAAAAGGTATAAAGCAACTTTTCAGTCAAGATAACCAAACACTTTTTTCAAGAATTCATACTTTCACCTGCCAAAATATAATTTACACGTGTTACTTTTCCTTTTCCATAATATTTCTGTTGTTTGCATTTCACTCCCACAAAGAAGCCATCCACATTTTTGTTCCCAGACGTAAAACCATAATTCCAAACGAGGGAGACAAACATGTAGAATAGCCTAAACAACTTTTTATCAAAACAGTATATCTTTCACTTCAACCAACCTTTATCATATGCGAATGCAACACACCCCAACACCCTCCCTTACCCTATAAAAACACACATCGATGCCGTTCCTCGTGCCCCACAAAATTGAAGTCTTCTCACAAATCCACTTTCAAATTACCATTTAGTATCACACAGCCTAACCCTTCACCTCTCTTTTCCAGATGTTTACAGGCAAACAAAACAATACAGACAAGACTAATTCAAGAAAAAATAAAAGTGTAACATACTTGCGTGCTTCCTCCTGCCAAGGATTATTAAAAAATGGTCAATCCTTTTAAAAAGCCCTTTACTTTGCTTTTACACTATGGCACATAAAATACATTTTCTTTTCTTAAATATCAGCAACAACTGAACTATCCTAAGGAAACTACCTATGTATTAATGCCTCAGAAGTGCCAAATATAAATAAATAAATAGTTCTTTAAACAAGATATAATGAGATCTCATTTTGTGCAAGTTGCAATAACTGTCCAATTTTTATTAAAAAGCCAGAAAGATTTCATAAAATGGAGTTCATTTTAAAAAACAAAAGTTTAGTTGACAGGAAGACAATGGGTTGAGGATGGGATATCAAATACAAGAAATTTTTTGTACATACAAACAAACAACCTCACTTGCTCATTACCTAACAACTAATTCAGAGTTGAATTTTGCAAGAAAAGCTTACACTGTCTAATTATGAACAATCGACAGTGAGAAGATTATTTAGTTTCTCAATGAATAGCTGAAAGACAATACTGTATCATTGACTCCTCTGTGATATCATACAATTAATTATTTAAAATAACTCTTCACAATATTCAAATGTCCTATTGGATTTTCTTATTAACATGACTTAAGGTACTTAATAACATAATAATAATAACCATAATAATAATAATAATAAATAATAATAATAAAAAAAATTAATAGTAATAATGATAAAACTTTACAAACTAAAAAATCACTCATGCATTAGCATATATCACAAATGCAACTTGCTGGAATCCCTTAGCCTCTTGCATATAGTCACGTCACGAAAAAATCTGACTCGAGGGGCAGGTGACGTGAACATGCCATCATGGGAAAATCTGGCTGTAGGCTGGGTGACATGAACCTGCTGCTAGGAGTTTTGCTGAAGGCCAGGGTGGTGGAAGACTCACTGTGAGTGCACAATCCTCTTAGGTTTATTACTCAATTTGGTGATTTTGCTTTATTCCCATCGATGTAAAAGTAGGGAATGTAATGTCCGTGAGCCATGACTGGAAGAGCACTAGCTCCATGGAGGACGCCATTTCCATGCTCAGTAATCGTATTCCTGGCGCCATGACCAGCGACACAGGTTGTCTTACAGAAAACTTTTAAAGAATTGTTCTAATCTAAATATTTAAAAAAACTACACAAATAACAAAGTGTTACATAGTTTTATTTTTCTTGCACAGAGTTGTAGACTACCTAGAGAGGATATGGAGTCTGTACAAAGAAAAATCTATTATTACCTGGATAATGCAACTCGAATGGCAAAGATGGACAATGGAAAATGGCCAAGAAGCTAAACCACTTATGCTTAAAAAGAGGAAATAACTTTGCAAATACGAAGCATAGAGTCTTGTCACACATTCATGTGCGCCCAGCCTACAAGCCGCCACCCAGCAGAGCAGCCACTCACATAAGCCTAATGCTAGGATTTTTGGTCATGTGATCGCCATGATGCAACCGGATCCAATAGGTTAATATAGGGATGTCCACTCTTAACCCTTTACAGACAGGTCACATGTACAAGCATCATAACATACCGCTTGGTCTGCGGGGTACAGCTGTACATGCAGCAACACACCAGAGCGCGTAGAACAGGAAGTTCTGTTACTTGACTCCCGTGCCTAGTGTCTGGACTTTACCAGAAATCACCAGAGATTTCTGATACCCGTCAGTGTCAGGTTAATACAGAGAGAGGAAATCAAGCTATCAAGCTCGCTTTGGTGAACTGGGAAACAGAATCTACATGAGACAGACCATCTGAACATTTGTCTTTCTTTAAAATTACAGAGATAACCAAGAAAATTTTTCATGAAAGTGCTGATTAAAACTTTGGGCATAAATCTGTCTTACAATCAATTTTGAGGCTCTACAATTATAGCATTTTGAGGGAAAAGAATAAAATGAAAAATAATCCCGTCAGGAGTTGTGTTTTATCCCACAAAAATTCTTATTTTTTCATGGTCAACTTGACTGCATGATATATTAACCAACAAAAAATATTCAAAATCAAGTATCAATTAATCAGTTTAAAATTAAATATCAAGTTCCACAAAACAATGGGGGGGGGCGGGATAGGTGGTCTACTAACATTTAGAAAGTCCAACAGAAATTATCACTTACACAATGTGATAAAAAAATTACAAAAACAGTTCTAAATCATCTGCAACAATAAATGCCTCTTACCCATTACCAGCTTTCATGCAGTTACACCTTTGCCACGACCAAATCTCATGTCTTAGCACAAGTCAAATAACTTTTCACACACTGAACCTATTACCAGAAATACAGCTGACATATCAGAAATAAGAGAGACAAAGAGAAATATATATGAACATAGAATGGGACATAAAAAAAAATATTAACAATAACAAAGATGTAGACAGATATTTGACTCTTACAATAGATACAGGTAAACAGTTAAGATATGTAAGGGGAAAAAAGAAGAGAATTTATTTGATCTTCCAATCCCTGTTTGTAAATGGTTTCTACTACAGACGGCAAAGTCCGTGTGCCATTATCCCTAAGTCTCTGATCTTTTAATATGTGTTGGCCTACATGTATCAGCAATGTCAACATATTCATCTCTCAGCTTACAGAAGGAAAAAAAAGCTTAAAATGAAAGATTACAATGCTACCCTGGCATGCTTTCATTATTGCATCATTTGTTTCCTACAGTACTCTGGGCCACACATGGACTCTTCCTCAAAGACCGGGCCTTAACTGGACTACATGCATGACAGCACTAAAAAATAAATATATATATACAAAATAAGTAAATAAATAATTCAAAATAAATGAAAGTCATACCAAAGATCTATCAAAATAATTTGGCTTCTTTCACAACAATAAACATCTCATTATTGGCACTTTCTTCAGTTTAAAAATAACTATCTGACTTAAGAAGTCTACCTAAAATCAAAATATATACATATTCAATTTCATTTACCACAGAGAAAGCAAGGAAAAATTTTACCTATAAGCTAGCTGAAAAATAATTTCTTACAATTTTCCTTTACAAAAAATCACACACAACATTCCCTCAGCAGTTTAAAAAGCATTAAAACTTCCCTCCTTAATCTAATTTGGGGAATGCTGGCTAGGGAAGTGTCCCTGGCTGAGCGAAGAAGCAGAAGCCACAACTGCAGCGGCAGCGGCGGCTTGGCTCCGTAAACTGCGAGACTGTTCCAGGTGCTCTGAGCTCTGACCGCAAGGGCTGGAGGACCTCGGGTGGACATCAGTTAACTGACTGTGCCTGCTGGCAATGTGCAGTCTCATACTGTTCCGCCTTGCGCTACGGTGGGGACAAAAGGGACACTGGTATCTCTTCTGCCCTGTGTGTGTATCCATGTGCTTCTTAAGGTCATTAGTCTTGATGCAGGAGTATGGACAAAGGTTACACTTGAGTGGCCTCTCCCCAGTGTGAATCATCACATGCTGCCGTAGGTGGTAGGGGTTCCTCGCCAATAGTCCGCAGTGCCTACACCTAAGCCCCTGCGACGCGTCACACCCCTGGGGAGACAACACGTGTTACTCCACCCTCAGCTTTATGATATACAACCACCGTGGGCATTCAGGTTACACAGTCGAGATAGGTTGGTTTTCGTGTAACTCAGGTTCATATAACTTTTGTTACAGGAAATCATTACTTCACATCATAGAGTAAAAATTGAAAAAATTATTCCCCCAACCAACCATGGCTACACTTTCACCCAAAAAGGATTAAAGACAGAAAGAGGAAAAAATAAGAATAAAATACAACTACACAAGTATTCACAGCCAGTGTTAAAACATCAAGTGTGGATTTTCCCTTCCCTAAGCCCGCCTTCTACAAAGCCATCCAAATTGATAATTGCAGTGTAAAAAAATAAATAAATAAAAAAAAGGAGAAATAAAAGATATTCATTACAACTTACCAACATTCAAAGAAAGCAAACAAGTGACCATTTTCCTTCCCTCAAGCTTGCCTTAATACAGGAAATGTAATGATAAACAACTAAGATACTGATTTGTTTTATTGAAAAACAAATAAATACTTTGGCATTCCATTTCACTTACAAAACCTCTTTATATTCTAAGAGGATATGCACAACGTGAATGACTCCACAAATTGTCTAACAAAGTGTGCCTCAAATTTTGAAATATGTTTACCACAAAATTTATCAACTGAGAACATCTACTTTTAAGCACTGTAATGCTAAAATATCAAAATGTTGCTCCACTTTGGATACATTCAACATCCATTATGTTACCATACTTAAAATCACATACATCTCACTATATTGCATCACACTAGAGCTGGCTTCATCCACGATTGTTTCAATCAACCAAAGCTTCTCTCAGGACCAAGCTGATGGAGTCCAGATGAATCCTTCATGTCAATGCCTTTGCTCAGCTGCCTTCACTTCACTTCACTGGCAACACACACTGCCCTAATGCCTCAGAACCCTAAATAAAGTCTGCTACCCCATGACACTGGTATGCTAATGCACCTTCAGCACCCGTCCGCTCCTGGCTTTTCATTGTGCATCTCCCATGGGCAGCCAGTTCATACTGTGGCGCCGCTGCATGTGGGACTTAACATTCCACTTAAGCAGGCTGCGGAAGGGGCAATACGGACACTTGTGAGGTTTCTCCCCGGTGTGGATGCGCATGTGGCGCTTCAGGTGATCCCGCCGGCTGCTGGCCCGCCCACACACAGGACAACGTAGTTGTCCACCCTCCTCACCCCTAGGCTCGCCCATAGGGCCACCAACTGGCTCACACGCCAGCATCCGCCCAGCTTCTTCAAGCTGCAAAGAAACAGCCTCCGTCAGTAGTGTACCTACTTGAGATCCACTTAGTGGGAATCCTTTTTAGTTCTCTAATGCAGACATTCTTCTAGCCTTCCCTTGACCACCTCCCTCCCTCATTTCTCTGAGCTCCACCCACTTTTTCCTTTAAAGTTTTGTACTGCTCCATACAATCAGCAGACCAGCTGGACTGCAAATGTAGGTTTGCCTTTTTACATCCCCCCACTCCCCCTTGTACTTATCCTTGAATAAATAAACCCATAAAATAACTAGATGCCTTGCAATACACACTGTTTTCTTTCTCTACAAAAATGTTATGTTATGTAATATATTAACTCAACTTTCATTCAACTCATACAATATATTGATCATTCACAAATTGTTCAAGTATTAACATGATGTACACAACAGAACCATACATCCAATATAATTTTCTATCAATATTTACTTCTTACTTTTCCCTTCACAAATATCAATCCACAAACTGTGCCAAATATGTGCCAGATATGAGAACAACTGCACCCAATATCATAATATGACAAATGTTCCAAGCTGCAATTCGAACTTTCCCGCCGAGCCAGGCTAAAAGCCAATGAACCTCAAGTGGCAATATCATCATTCTCTCACTGACACCCTGCCACCTTCCCTCCACTCGTATGACCCCGCCATCAGCTCCCCCTGTATCTGGACTCCAAACCTAACACCTCAAATAAAAACGGTTTACTAGAATGATTTCTTCCATTTCTTGCACACCCAGCAGTCAGGGAATTTTAGTTGCAGATGCCAGGTTAATACTCATTCAAAACCTAGCTTGAATTATCAAGAATTTTTTTACTTCTAAGGGCAAGATTCATGAAGAAAATTCTTTCTTTAGGCTCCAAAAACTCAACTTCACTTTCTTCACTGATTATTACCAATTATTACAACCTCTTTTCCTGTCACTTTATTTTCTCCAAACTTTTTATTTGCTCAGATTAATTTCTCTCCAACCTGCCTGTAATTAAGCTTCAAAAGCGTGTGCAATCGTGATCTCATATCCCATCCTTTTCTCTTGGCAATGCTGAACAACTTTCCATATTTTCCAGATATTCATCCCTGACACCACACTATGACTGGAATCAAATAACAGGAAGAAAAAGCCAAGTCCTTCAAGACTATTTGATAAAATCTTTCATACTAAGATCCAAGATTTGCTCCACAGGAATACAGACAGGTATTATCAGATTGGCACTAGATGAGCAAGTCCACCAAAAACAAGATTTTATATCCCTACTAGATATTATGTAAGGGCACTTATGGAGTATGGAGTATCATTACTATCAACAAATTATAATTCAGAATATCAAGCTAACAGCAGTAAGCAAATAAGCAAGAGCCACTACAGAGTTGTCATTCAGGAATTAACTTGTATTTACTATATAAATTTTCTTAAAAACAAAATTTGATAAAATTTATATGTATACTTCCCTCATGGCAGGTCTGGTAATGAGAACTCATCATCCCCGGGTGTAAATTCCTTCCTTTTGCTCATGTGTTCCGAGTTAAAAAACAGTTTAACTTCTAAATACTATGCAGTTTAATATTAATAGTGATAATGGTGATAGTGATAATGATATTTTCCTATGGAATCTTTTTGAGAGAGATTTTTTTTTTTCCCCCAAACCAATCCTGAAGTAATTCACTTTTTTCCCTTTCTGATGAAAGTTCCACAAACCCACAAATGCAACTACAACGCTTTGGTAAAACAGTAAACTTCTCCACAATCAAAGGCCTGGTCGAAAGTGATGCTTTCATTAATCTACCGAGAGTACTGAAATGTAAAGGCAGCTTTTATCGAAGTTTCAAGCAACTAATAATAATAATAATAATAATAATAATAATAATATAATAATAATAATAATAATAATAATAATAATAATAATAATAATAATAATAATAATATAATAATAATAATAATAATAATAATAATAATAATAATAATAATAATAATAATAATAATAATAATAATAATAATAATATAATAATAATAATAATAATAATAATAATATAATAATAATAATAATAATAATAATAATATAATAATAATAATAATAATAATAATAATAATAATAATAATATAATAATAATAATATAATAATAATAATAATATAATAATAATAATAATAATAATAATAATAATAATAATAATAATAATAATAATAATAATAATAATAATAATAATAATAATATAATAATAATAATAATAATAATAATAATAATAATAATAATAATAATAATATAATAATAATAACGATATAATAATAATAATATAATAATAATAACATTAATATAATAATAATAACATTAATATAATAATAATAATAATAATAATAATAATAATAATAATAATAATAATAATATAATAATGATAATAATATAATAATAATAATATAATAATAATAATAATAATAATAATAATAATAATAATAATAATAATATAATAATAATAATAATAATAATAATAATAATAATAATAATAATAATAATATAATAATAATAATAATAATAATAATAATAATAATAATAATAATAATAATAATAATAATAATAATAATATAATAATAATAATATAATAATAATAATATAATAATAATAATATAATAATAATAATAATAATAATAATAATAATAATTTAATTATAACAATTTAATAATAATAATATAATAATAATAATAATAATAATAATAATAATAATATAATAATAATAATAATAATAATAATAATAATAATAATATAATAATAATAATAATAATAATAATAATAATATAATAATAATAATAATAATAATAATAATAATAATAATAATAATAATATAATAATAATAATAATAATAATAATAATAATAATAATAATAATAATAATAATATAATAATAATAATATAATAATAATAATAATAATAATAATAATAATAATAATAATAATAATAATAATAATAATATAATAATAATAATAATAATAATAATAATAATAATAATAATAATAATAATAATAATAATAATAATAATAATAATAATAATAATAATAATAATAATAATATAATAATAATAATAATAATAATAATAATAATAATAATATAATAATAATAATAATAATATAATAATAATAATATAATAATAATAATATAATAATAATAATAATAATAATAATAATATAATAATAATAATAATATAATAATAATAATAATAATAATAATAATAATAATAATATAATAATAATAATAATAATATAATAATAATAATAATAATAATAATAATAATAATATAATAATAATAATATAATAATAATAATAATAATAATAATAATAATAATATAATAATAATAATAATAATAATAATAATAATAATAATAATAATAATAATAATAATATAATAATGATGAATAATATTATAATAAATCAGAAATAATAATAATAATATAATAATAATAATAATAATAATAATAATAATAATAATAATAATAATAATAATAATAATAATAATAATAATAATAAACACAATAACATCACTAAAAAACTTTGAACTAATTCACCCTTCCTCTAAACAAATATCTAGCTCAATGTGTGCGTTGGTGGCGTGGCTGCACATCGCATAACGTGCTTCTTCATATTGCTCCGGTCATTCGATCTTCTGCCACAACGAGGACAAATATAGTTTTTGACACCGGTGTGCACAATTACGTGT